GTCTCAAACATCTGTATCTTGTGCAGCCTATGGACAAAAGTTCTCGAACACCAGAACCATGCATACACATACCAGCATTTTCACAGCGGAAGCCTATGGTATCCTGCTTATTATACAACACTATGAACAACACAAGATACAAAAGTCTATAGTGTACACAGATTCTTTAAGTGTTGTCAGGGCCCTGTCTTGTGGAAAGTACAGCAAGGACCCTACTTTCAACAAGCTCCTTAACGAAATCTATGCAGCCTACAACCTAAAACTTTCTATTGTTATTTGCTGGGTTCCAGGTCATTCTGGAATTGCGGGCAATAAAACAGTGGACAAGAATGCACGAGAAGCCGCTGGTCGGCAAACCATAGATATAACCTCTGTTTCGGGTGTATATCTAAAACCTGCTGTGCGTAGAGGTCTACGCAACCACTGGCAAGCTGAATGGGACAGAGAAGTCGACAACAAACTCCACCTTGTAAAACCCCAGCTGAGAAAAAATATCCCCCAAAAACTCAACAGGTTCGCCGAAGTCACTCTAATGCGGCTCAGAATAGGCCACACTTATGCTACACATAAACACCTTTTTGACAGGTACTGATCCACCTACATGTATACACTGTGGAAAGAGTCTAACCGTTGTACATGTCCTCATACAATGTCTGGTGCTTCACCAAGCACGACTGACCCTTTTCAGGGAGCTCTATCGATATCATATTCCACTTCATCCAGCGCTGTTTTTATCACTTGATGCAGTAGTTGACCTTAAGAGACTTCTTCATTATCTTGGGAAAGTGAAATTTTTAACAATGATATCATTCCATCCTAGCCACCAGGCTGCGCCTCAAGTGTGAGGTACCGCCTGGTGCATAAAAAGTATGTCTGAGCCTTCTCAGTACTTGCCCAGGCAAGGACTTAAGCTGCGAGGGTCTTGGGCCTTGCAGACTAATTTATCATCACAGACTTCAGCCAACGAAATGAAGGTTTTAGCAAAGTGACATTCCTTTTATATGCACCGTGTTTTAAATGGTTCATAATTATTTGCTACTCATCATTTGTTTTAATTTTTAAACTAATAACCGAAATGAAACAACACTTGTACTGGCGCTCTTTGGCCTTAGATGCCCTTGCGCCAATAAAACTTAACGTAATAAGTTATATTTAGTCAAGCGCAAACGTTTATGGAGCATGACACAAACCGCTTCTGCTCCTAGCGATTGTCACCCAACATCAAGTCAAGTTCTGGCCTGAATATTGATCTTGTTGATATTCACTGGTATTTCGAGTTTTCCTTGCACGCAACGCATCGCTAGTTTTTTTTCGAAAAGTGTGTGCAGTATGACCAGGTAAGCCATCTAAAAGTTCTAAATTTTTTTTGCTGAATCAAACCTATAGCGTCGCAACTCAAACTGTGTGCCGTATGCTCGAGACCACTTTGTCGGACAGCTTGCGACAGATAAAAGTTGTTGTGATGAACTGCTTGCGAAACACAAGGACGGTAAATCTCCTCCACCGAATGAAGAACAGTATTTTCGCGCAGTGACGAATAGCTAGAACATATATTAAGCAACAGAAGTATCTTGGGCGTAGCACTCTTGTAAATTGCCGCTGTCGTAGTGGAAATGTTGCGATGAACTTCTTAGCCACGTGCTCGCATAGTACGAAACTTTTTGTTCTGGACTATAGCATTCGCGCAACGTTTCAATTTATCTTGAGGTGTACAGCCATCCGAAAAAGCTTACGCCCTAAACAAGCCCAGATCAAGCTGCCTGTCCGCACAGCGTAAGTGGTGTGCCACGTACCGTCGACCCCATCACTTGGCCAGAAATAAACCATGTCATTCGCTGCATATCGACTTCGCACTGCAGTGAAAAACACTCTCAGTTGGTTGTTCTCACGCGAACCTTTTTTCGGCAGTTTGACCGTCACGCTTCTACTTATACAGCAGCAGCAAAACTACCTAGGTGAGGCTTTCATGGTGTGTTATTGTGTAAGTAACACTTTGAGAGAAAGGTTGCGATGGATAGGCTTATGGTCAAGAGTACGTGCTCTCAAAATGTAAGCACGTATGGAGTTCTACCAAAGAGCACTTTACGTTCTAGGATCCTCCACATTCATGCCGGTGACGAAATAGCCAGACCATCGATTAAGCGATAAGTGTGTATTGGCCGGAGTGCAGTTTTCAATCGCGCTGACGCAGCGTAAATGTTTTTGGCCAAGCTCTCGTGTGGGCTGTAAGCTTACATGGTCGACTGCGCACGAGTAAATTTTATTACAAGGATACAAAAGCTGATAGCACACGCTGCAACCAAAATTCGTTGTCTCTTGGCGCTACACTTGTATCGACTCTTTTTCCGATCAGCCCCACCGCGGTGGTCTAGTGGGTAAAATAATCGGCTGCTGATCCGCAGATCGCGGGATCAGATTTAAGCTGCAGCGGCTGCATTTTCGAAGGAGATGAAAATGGTGTGAGCCCATGTGCTCAGATTCGGGTGCACGTTAAGGAGCCCTTGGTGGTCCAAATTTCCGGAGCCCTCCACTTCGGCGTCTCTCATAATGATATGGCGGTATTAGGACGTTAAACGCCCGACATAAATCAATATTTTTTCCAACGATGTCGAACTATAGATTGGCTGTCATTCCAATCAATTTGAAGTACACAAGGCTGTCATAAAGAATGCTTAGGTTTGATTACGGCTTCAGCCATGATTTTTATTGTTAGCTTCCAGTGTGATATCAAAACATATCAAAGTGACACCTTTAAGGGGCTGGCTTCGAAAAAGTTCTCTTGTCAACGTCGGTGTCGGCATTCTTTGTTGTAAACAAAAAATTTTGACCTTCCTATTACGGAAAAATCGAGAAACAGGCAATTGAAATAGTAATAGGATTCTTCGCTTGAAGTTAAATTCAAACCCAGGCGTTCTGCGCGTAAAGCACTTGTTCTACTATGTCGCTTCAAACTGTGCGAAAAAAAAAAGATCTTTGTGAATGCCATGTAGTCAAAGTAGTCTACTGAACCTGTGTAACTGCATGGCTGAAACGTGAAATCATACCAGCTAGATGTCAAAGCATTTGAGTTCCGCAACGATTGAGTGTTTTACCGAGATGCACCTAATCAGCATCATAATCTGTAAAATATAAACAAAGTGAGGAACTGCGTAGGCCCTTGTATTTCCTTAGGGACGCGCTTGTGGGCCCTTCACTGAATCGCAAAAACAATAATTTTGGCGCAATGGGTACTCAGCTGTCTTTGCCATATCTAAACATTCTCGGAAGGATTGGAAGGGACAATGTTACGTAAACAGTCGTTCGTTTGAATGCAGTGCGGTTGAAATATTCACCGAGAACCAAAATCGGGCTGAAAAAACTACAGCACCTTCACAGGTGAATCATGATAAAGGGGGCAAAGCGTCCGTCCGTCTGTCTGTGTGTCTGTTTGTCTGTCTGGCGACAAGCATGAGCCGCAACCGCCACTGCCTTCCGTACCCGTTACTTCACTTCACTCATGTCCCACCTGATATGCGACACGTACATCGACGATCTAACAGTATAAGGCAGGCACTTGTCGCCCACGCACCAAGGCACAGCCCGCACCGCAGCTAATCGGAGAGTAGCGGTACAGTGCCCTCTGAAATATGGTCAATAAACTGCAGCTTCTATGTACTTCTATAAGACAACGTCATGGACTACAATGTTTGGGAAATATTGGTGGTTACGCCTGATGCAGGACAAGGTAATGGCGAATTCCACTCGTCTAGCGGAGCATCTTTTCTTGCTCCAAAGCTGAAAATTCGCGTTTTGTTGGTAGATTCGGAGCAAGTTGGCATTTTCCACTGGTAGATTGGAGCAATCCACTCCGCGACAAAGCATGCCGCGTGCTCTGTCTTGCAGAGACGGATTTCGCCGGAACTCCGTGAAGGCGTTACCGTCATTTCCGGTGCAGTCGGGCAGCTGAGTAGCCCTCAGCGTGTGTTGAGGCGGTCTAGTAACCCTGTGCTGTTGTTTACATTCCTAAAATTTGAAACCGCAACCCTGCTTTTAACGAGACTGCGTGGTTGAAATGCGTGCTTTGCCGTGGTGAAACAGTTGACACTGAAACGCCGAGAGCAGAAAAGAAAATAGTTTCCGGTACCGGTAGTGACGTATGTGTGAAAAAAAAATTCCTGAGAGACCTTGCGTGAGGCATTCACGTGTTCCACTAGCAAATCTCGTTTGGCACACTCCGAGAGCTCGCTCCATGATTTCAGCGGCATCTCAGGATCTACCAGTAGAATTCGTCATTAGACTAAGAGGAGCTTTGCTTCTGAATTTGAGGCGACGGTGAATATGGGGCCCAACTATACTACGCCGTTCTACCCTTGAAAGCGTAGTTAAAGCGTCTGTTCTGTTCTGTTCGAACTCTTTTGATGGGGAGAGGGTGACGTCAATATTTCCTCGGCTACTCGATATCAATAGGTTCTCCAGCGAAAAAATAAATAATACTGAACGCTAACCAGACATAGACAATCGGCAAAAACAAAACACAATAGCACGCTGAAACCAGTCGAAATATCATGCCGATGTACAGTTTGATTGCAGAAGTTCAGACTGTGATAAAATGTTTGCATGTCGCCTTTCTTTTCTTCTGTCAGTATATGCACTAACACATCATTTCGTATATGTCAAGCCTGGCTGTCTATGACAGGCAATCTTGTATCTCTGACGCCGCCGACATCCATGACAGATTTAAGACACAGGCTCCAAAACAGTGTCCCGTTAATATTTATGAAGCCCGGGTTGATATATACTATCAGTCATGTGTGGCGCATAGCCACATACTAGTGGCAGCGTTATGCGGGAATGTGGCTCACTTTACTAGCGCAAAGTCTTTCAATATGGGAAGGCCTTCATAACTTTCTAACTCGAAGACCGGTCTAAGGCAGTTCACAGGGCTCGTGAGAGAGCAAAGAGGCATGGCCTCCCGGCTCCAACATTGGATTAGCTGACAGCACGGCGAAGGTCCCCTGTAGGAATACACTGGCTGGCTCCTCAGGGCCTGCCAGTGTATTCGTGGACGCATCCGTCATGCCAACCATAGTGACTGGGAATCCCAATGTGCCCACCATGATGATTGCCGAAAAAGCAGCCGCCATGATTCTGAATGATCATCCGTAGTATATAACAGTGACCAATAAAGACCGGCTCGGTTATGTTTGTATCATTTTTGTTTGGGCTAGATTAACAAATCAAAATAAACAAATTTCTCAGCTCTGACGCAGCTGGCTTTTGTATAGTGTGTTGCTGTCACAATAACGCGATGGTGTTAAAGAGCTGGTTTCGAAGAAATTTCGACGTTGGCGTTGTTGGCTATGTGCGAAACATTCGTGTTGAGCGTCTGCAAAAAAAAAATCCACAGAGCGACCAATCAAATAAACAAAAATTGGAAAGCTCTTCAGTTCCATTGTGAATAGAAGCCTAGTCTCCTGCGTTGCGGGCAGCTGTTCTACCAAAAAGCCATCTGTTTCCCATCACTGCCTGAAACTTCTTTAGAAAAAAGTGCTTTATGAAAGAGGCATGTGAGCTGGGGACTGTTCTTATTGCATGAGTGTTATTGAGGGTTCCCTGTCTTCAGGAAGCTTTCTCACAAATAAAACGGGAATGGGATTTTGATTCATATTTCTGTATATTGCCACGTTCCATTTCCCAAGTTTTTGTTATCGTCCCAAAACACCACACCATTCTCAGCGCGAACCACGCCTGCAGTTTTCGAGAAGATTCCGGACTGTAGTAGATCATTTCGATAAGATCACGCCCACTGTGCGAACGGTGCAGATTGTTCTGGAACCTACGCCGCCGCCAGCGATAACGCTAGAACATTCGACGGCAAGAGTATAAATGCCGACGCGCTTCGCCGCTTGTCAGTTGTTGATCGAAGGCTGACGCTCCGTTCGCCGCTATCAGTCCGAGACTGCTATCTGTGCGAGACTGCTGCCGTAATTGGACTTTCCGTTTACCGGGCACAGGTTCGCCCAAATAAACAGTTAAATCCCAACACGAAGTCTCCTGTCTTCGGCCACGTCACGACCCCGTGACATCTGGTGGAGGTGCTGCTTCATTCATGTACCGGACGCCCCCGTCAAGCCGTGAACCCGGCCCACGTCGCGGAGAAGACACCGACGCCAACCAGGAGCAGCGAACAAGCCGCCGACAGCAAGGGCTACCACCGGAGTACGGGATTCTAGAAGACAAGGCGCGGAAGACCAAGGCCATGACCGCGACTGCAGCGACAATGACAACCGCCACATCCCAGCCCACGATGGTCATGCATCAACCCAGGGAACCACCGATTTTCCATGGGTCATCGTTCGAAGACCCGGAGTCCTGGCTAGAAACATACGACCGTGTGGCCGCCCTCAACCACTGGGACAACGAAGAAAAGCTCCGTCGTGTGTACTTCTACCTGGAAGACACCGCAAGGACATGGCTAGAGAATCGTGAGTCCACGCTCCGAACGTGGGATGTCTTCTGCGGCGCATTTCTGCAAACGTTCGCGAGCGTCGCTGGCAAATAAAGGGCCGCTGCTCAACTAGAGACCCGGGTTCAGCTACCAAATTAGAAGGTTGGAATTTTCACAGAGGAGATGACCCGCCTATTTCGTCACGCTGACCGAGACATGTCTGAGGAGAAGAAAGTTCGTTTCCTCATGCGAGGGGTCAAACAAAAGCTCTTCGCGGGACTAATGAGGAATCCACTGAACACCGTCCAAGAATTTGTATGCGAGGCGACCACCATCAAAAAAACCCTTGACATGCGCACCAGACAGTATAATCGTCGCCTGACTCCAGAATGCGCTGCTGCTCAAACCAGTGACTCCGAAAACCTGCGTGAAACGATCCGAGCGATCGTGTGGGAAGAGCTGCGCAAGCTGTTGCCTTCGGCGTACCCTCAAGTGGATTCGATCGCCGACATTGTGCGAGAAGAAGTTCGGCCATTACTTCGAATTCCCCAAACACCGCTGCCCGAGCCAGAAACTATGAGCTACGCCGCTGCAGTGCGCCACAACGCTCCTCCCCGTCCACGCCAAAACGCCGCCCCGTCGCACTTCCGTCGCCGGACACCACCGCCGCCACCACCCCCACCAACGACCTACCGTTCACCAGCGGGCCAGCGCAGTGCGCCGAGAAAAACCGACGTTTGGCGCACCCTTGACCAACGCCCACTGTGCTACCACTGCGGCGAGGCCGGGCACACTTACCGCTGTTGCCAGTACCGACAGATGGGACTGCGTGGCTTCGCCGTCGATGCACCACGTCCGCAGCCAGGGGAACGGCCACGTGACATCGCCGACTACCTGACAGGAACTCGGTGGACATCACGAAGCCCTTCGCGTTCGCCGTCACCCAGCCGCCGCATGTCACCGCACCCCCGGAAGTACTCCGGCCCAACGCGGGGCCGGTCTCCTAGCCCGTATCCGGGAAACTAAGGGCAGCAACCGGTGGAGGTGCGGTTGCTGTGCGACGAACTACCGAAGATCCTCCTCCGACGACGACGCCGCGACGGAGCTTTCCGAACACAATGCCAACCAGGCAAAGCCCTGACGGCGAAAGCTCACTTACCGGAGGTGGCCTGACGACGCAACATGGAAGCAGCGGATCAAGCCGACGCAGCCGTGACCCGACGCCACGCCCTAACTGTAATGCGAGACGGTGAACTAGCGACATCGACGTTCTTATTGACGGCCACAGTGTGACCGCTCTCGTCGATACTGGAGCCGACTATTCTGTCATCAGTGGGTTGTTCGCCGCGAAGTTAAAGAAAGTTAGGACAGCTTGGAAAGGCCCTGAAATCCGCACAGCCGGAGGTCATCTTGTAACGCCTGCAGGAATCTGCACAGCGAGAGTCACCACTAATGGCCGTATTTATCCTACAGACTTCGTAGTCCTACAGCGTTGCTCGAGAGATGTCATCCTTGGCATGGACTTCTTATGCCTCCATGGTGCTGTCATCAACCTAAAAACAAAGTCGATACCGTTATCCACAGAAGAAGCACTACCACCGCGCACGCCGTCAGGACACCATGCCTTGAATGTGCTGGAAGAACAAGTCACCATTCCGCCTCGCTCAAGCGTCATTATTTCAGTCGGCGCTCCTAAATCACCTGACTTGGAAGGCGTCGTTGAAGGCAGTCAGCATCTGTTGGTCACTGTCATAATATGTGCTGCGCGGGCGCGAAACAGAAACTAAAAAACGACAATAGTGTGCCGTGCGGTGGCGAAGAGGATGTGATGTGTGCGTGTATGTGCCGGGCGGTGCCTACGAGGAAGACGACAGCTCGTGAGGCGCGGGCTCGAGCGTGTGTGACCCGTGCCTTCGGCAGTGCGAGAGGTACGTCGATCGAGGCAGGACTACCTCGTTGGGCGTCTGGCCCATAGGTACGACCCAGGCCACGTCGCGACACTCGTACCAGCCGAGTGGACAGCTCAGCCTCCGCTAGACGACCGGTCTAGGAGAGCTGGCGCCAGGTTCCTGAACCTGTCCTTGTCCCGCTGGTCGTGGAGAGCTGGCGCCGGGTGCCTGAACCTGCCCTTGCGCCGCTGTTCCAGGAGGGCTGGCGTGGGTTTCCGAGGCGGACTGCAGGTGCTCAAGGGCACAACTCCCTGCCGCCGGAACACAAGGGTCGTCGGCTCCAGTTCGTCGACAGTGGCGCTGAGCCACTGGAGTTCGACGCGGCGACCCTGCGTCTCCCGACTTCGTCATTGCAGGTGACGACGCCGCCCAACGTCGACTTCGCCACTGAATGGTGCCGACGGGGCATCAACGACGGCCCAGGCTACTACCCCGACGACCTGAACTGTAGGCCGAACGTTCTACTTATTCATTTAGTTTAGCCGCGTGTTTTGTGTTAGGAACTTCGTAATGTGTGGGTTGTCCATGTGTGAAGGGTACAATAGAAGTTGGACGTGTGTTTGTGCACTGGCGTGCTGTCTGATTCTTTCTGGAGCGGTCCTGCCCCAATAACATCACAAACTGGCGAGCCTGCCAGGATCCGCTCGTTAAACCAGTGAAAGAAGACAGTTTCGCTCGAGGCAGACACACGTTCAGACTGCACCATGGACTTGGAAAAACTCGCCGCTATAGGGCTCCAACTAGGGTTCTCGGGTGCAGAGCTAAACAAGTGGATTGAGGCCCAACAGGCTAAGCTAAGGGATGAGAGAGCTGCAGAGCGAGAGGCAGCCAAAGAAGCTGACGAGAGGCAGCGTGAAATTCTGCAGCTTAAGGTAAAGCTTCAGGAAGGAGCTCAGAATATGCCTGTAGCAGCTAATGACGCTTTGACTGCGCCCAGCACCTCCTCACCCCTCAATCCGCAGAAGTTACTGCCTGTATTTGACGAGAAACGCGATGATCTGCACGCGTATCTGCAGCGATTCGAGCGCGTAGCCACAGGACAGGATTGGCCGCAAGAAAAATGGGGTCTCGCTGTTAGCCTGTGCCTAACGGGTGACGCGTTAACCGTGATAGGCCGAATGACTGCCGCTGATTCGCTGGACTACCAAAAAGTAAAGAAAGCTCTACTGCAGAGATTTCAGTTTACGGCTCAAGGCTACCAAGATAAGTTTCGGAAAGCACGAGCAGCAGATGGTGAAACTGGACGACAGTTAGCAGCAAGAATTACCAGTTATTTCGACCATTGGATAGACATGGCAAACGTATCCCAAACCTATGAAGGTCTAAGGGATCACGTAATCTCTGAGCAATTCTTGCGTTGTTGCCATCCAAAGCTGGTTGTTTTCTTAAAAGAGCGAGAGTGCAAGTCACTAGATGAACTCGCTAATTTGACGGATCGCTTCCTTGAGGCGCAGAATTTGACTAATATAGGAAAAGGTCCTGACCCCGCGAAAGAATCCAGTGGAAAGCCTACCGAAGCGTCGCGGAAACCGCAACTCAAGTGTATCCTGTGTCATCGTTTCGGACATTTGGCTCCTGACTGCCGCAATCCACCTAAGCAGATGCTGAAATGCAAGTTGTGCGGTAAAACGGGACATGTCACAGAAACTTGCCGAAACCAGCATGGGAACAACAAACCGAGTTCTTCGTGCGCATTTAGCGAACCTGACTCTGCCCGGGCTGGTGCTAGAAAAACAGCCAAGCGTCCAGGAGGGAAGATTCCTTGCTCAAGTCACCACGACGACAAGAACGTGCAGGGTACAATACGTTTCCTGGCCGACGGGATGCCAGTGGTCGAAGGTCTGCTGCTAGGAAGAGAGGTTCGAG